TGTGTGGATGAGTATTTTGCCTGCATGTGTTGGCTGCATGCAAGCGAGGTGCTTCACCAGGTTCTGAGGGAAACATGATGCCAGACAGGAGGTGGCAGTTACCTCAGAAGCAGTGCAGAGAAAAAGGGGAAGTCACCTCCAGTTGTTTTGTTTGCTTGTTTGCTGTTGTTTGTGGGTTTTTTTTTTTTGAAGAGTTGGTGTCGGTGAAGGTGTAAAATCCTTCTGTCTTGGCTTCCTAAGTGTAGCCACATGTGAAGAGATTAGAAGCACATCCGCGTCACTACACTCACCTTCCTCCAGTTTAATTATGGCAAAGTGAACATAAAATAAATTTATAACTCTAAGTGCACTGTTCTTTGATACTAAATATACTTCAGAGTTGCAGTCTTAACCACCATTAATTCCCAGTACATTTTTCCTCCGCTAACACTGAAGTTCTATGCCTACTAAACAGTAGGTCCCAGGGTGGCTAGGGTGTAGCCCAGTGGTAATGTGCCTGCTTGGCACACATGAGACCACTTGTTCTAGCCCCAGCAGTAGAGAAACAAAGAATTTTGACCCCGGTAAGCATTTCCTATAACTGAAACCATGCAATATTTGCTTTTTCTGTGACTAATTTATCTTGTTTAGAATAATATCCTCCAGGCTCAAACTCCCTGTATTTTTAAGGCTGAAAGAATATTCCCCTGTGTGTATACAACACATTTTTACTTCATTTGTAGCCTGAAAAATGGCCTATTCTGGAAAATGTCCCATGTGCAATTGAAAATCCTGTATAAGCTGCTACTGGGTAGGGTGAACTGGAAATATCTGTCACATCTACTTGATTTACTATATTGTTTAACGCCCCTGTTGACTTATTTATCTTCTCCCTGGTCATCAGTTTTGTGTGATATATTTTGGTTGTCTGTTATATGCATGAATGCTTATAATTTTTATAAAACTCTGCTGCGTTGAAGTGCTTCTGTTGGTACACGGTCTTTGCCTTCTCTAATCCTTCCCCTTTAAAGCCTATTTGTTTGATATCCAGATGCCTACCTCTTCTTTTCTTTTTCTTTCTCACTTTTCTCTTTCTTCCTTCCTTCCTTTCTTCCTTCCTTCCTTCCTTCCTTTCTTCCTTTCTTTCTTTCTTTCTTGCTTGCTTTCTTTCTTTCTTTCTTTCTTTCTTTCTTTCTTTTTTGTAAGGGTTTCACTTTGTAGCCCTGAGTGACATGGAACTCACTATGTAGACAGGTTGACCTTGAACTCACAGAGATCATCCTGCCTCTCACGATGAAATTGTTCATATCCTTATTTTGGATGAAGGGCACCCGTGCTATAGCACACACATGAAGGTCAGAGGTCAGCCTTCAGGAGCCAGTTCTCTCCTACCACGTGAGGCCTGGGAATTTACCCTGCTTCTGCTTCCTCAGCACTGGGACTAAAAGTGTGCACCACCACCCCTGGCCCCACCTCTGCTCTTTCCTGATTACTATTGTATGTAGTTATGGAGTATTGTCTTCATTTTCTAATTGTTTTACTTTCAACTTACTTTGTTTCTGGAGATAAAATGACTTTTTGGGTGGGTGAGTGGGATTTGAGATGGGGTTTCTCTGTGTAGCCTTGACTATCCTGGAACTAGCTCTGTAGACCAGGCTGGCCTCAAATGCACAAAGATCTGCCTGCATCTGCCTCCTGAGTCCTGGGATTAAAGGTGTGTGCCACCCAACCACCCAGTTAAAATGGCTCTTTTATAGACAGTGGCACACAGCTAGATCCATTCTGACAATCCTTGTCTTTAAAAGAACGGTTTACATGATTTATATTTAAGTAGACTGTTGTTAAGAAAGGGCTATGGGATCTTGCTATTTGTTTTCTAACAATGTTATCTCTCATTCTCTGCATTTCTATCTTCTTTCATATTCTGTTGTATTCTGCTGAAGTGTGTGTGTGTGTGTGTGTGTGTGTGTGTGTGTGTGTGTGTGGTGTGAACATACCTGCAGGCATGTGGAGGACAGTGGAGGATGTCTGGCACCCTGCTCTATAACTTTCCACCTACTCTCTTGAGACAGGGTTTCTCACAGAACCTGGAGCAAGGTTGTTGGCCACCAAGCCCTAGTGATCCTTACTGATCCTGTTTTCAAACTGCACCTCTCACCAGAACTGGGGTTACAGACACACATGTGCTCACACCTTTTGGTTTTGTTTTTGACATGGGAATTGGGGATCTGAACTCAGACCCTCACGCTTACAAGGCAAGCACTCTTGCCTATTGTGCAATCTCCGCAACTCCCAACTTTTTATACCGAATATATATTTCCTCTCTCATTCCCTTCTATGTGTGCCCTATAGTTATTTTCTTTCTGGTTACAGCAAGGACTACACTTACCAACCAGCGTTAGTAAGCCTCTTGTCACCATAATGAAACACCTGACTCAGACTACTTATACAGAAAGGGGTTTATTTAGTTCTGGTATCCAAGATTCAAAGTCCAGCAGCACAATGAAAGTTTGGAGAAATTTATCTAGTGTCCCTTTATTTCAGGCTGCACACCACTGGTGAGCGTTTCTTTCACAAGAATCTAATGGTCTCAAATCCCCTCAACTTTGTTTATCTAAAAATGTCTTTGTTTCTTCCTCACTATTAAAGAAAAATTTTTCTGGATGTGGGGTTGTTTGTGCTTTCTTTTCACAATTGGACTATGTTAGCTCACTGACACTCTTGTCTGAAGTTTCTAATGAGAAATCTACTGGTGCTTTACTGTGGATTTCGTGACAGTGGGCTCTCTTTAGTTTGTCTTTCGAAGGTTTGCTTGCGCTGTCTTACCACAGTGCAACACTCTGGGTTGGTATTAATTGTTGTTTGTTGAACTTCTTAGATATTTATGTTCGTGTTTTTCCTCTAAATTTGAGAGGACTTGTATTTTCCTTATTTGTTCTATGATTTGTCTAAATATTCTCCCTTTCTCCCTTTTCTCTGCTTCTGGGGCTCCCCCAGTGCTTATGCCTCTCTACCACAGGTTTTACAGGTTCTTTGGGGTCTATTTACTTTTCTTCAAACTTTCTTCTTTCAATTCCTCAAACTTGATAACACTCATCATCACATCTTCAAGTATGCTTTTCTTTTCCTTGTCCCTGCTCAAATCCGCCTCTGAATCCCTCCAACGGAATTCAAATGTTCCTCACTGTACCTTTCAGCTCCAGAAAATTCCACCGTACTTCCTTGGATGGGAAAGCACACATGTCACAGCCTAAGAGGACAACTTTCAGGAGTTGATTCTCTCCTATCACGTGGGTCAAGTACAGCAGCGAATACCCTTCCCCACTAAGTCACCTCCTCTCCCACCTCTTTTTAAAATGTAGTGTGTGTGTGTGTGTGTGTGTGTGTGTGTGTGTGGGTGTGTGTATGATGTGTATATGTGTACATGAGTTCAGGTATGTGTGTACTATAGTGCAGGTCAGAGGATTACTTTCATGAGTCAATTCTCTCCTTCCATCATGGATCCAAGGATTGACCTCAGGTCCCCAGGCTTTTGCTATCTTGCTGGCTTTGTTTCGGAATTTTTGTTTATTCCTTTTAAGGTGTTCAATCTTTTGGTTAATGTTTCCATTTTGTTTGTATATCACTGTGGGAGGCACAGAGGTCATTGTGCTCACAGATGAGCACTAGATAACAAGAAATGTTAAACACACAGGGTTGTCTCTTCAAGGGAGAGATGTATAACTTGTTTCCTGCCTAGAAGACTAGGAACAGACATGGTTAATAGACTGGTGACCTCTGCACTATCTGTGTGGCTGAGATCACATTAGATCCTCAAGACACTTATCATGAGCTTGTCAATCTATAGAACCTAACTTTATGGAAGCTGTCACAAGTACTTTACAAAGACTCATGATTTAGTCATGTCTTAAGTATTATTGTGCACATGGGATTGAGTTCATTTTCATCAGGAAATTTTTCATCAAATTGTGCTGTGTTTAAATATGCCTTAAATAAACTTCTTTGGGTCAGACTCCCTTAGTTTGAACCAGCACTAGCTACTGAGTCACACTGAACCCAAGTGCCTTCTTGCCTTTGTCACATCCTTACTATACTGGTTGTGATGGTCCCAGAGACCCCCTGCTGTGGGTTGAAAGAGAGTGGTACCATTAGGAGGTGTGGTCTTGTTGGAGGATGTGTGTCACTATGGGGGTGGGCTTTGAGGTCCCATACACTCAAGTCACACCCAGTGAAACAGTTCACTTCCTGTTGCCTGTGGATCAAGAGACATGGATCACTCTTGAAGCAAGAATGCCAATTTTATTATGTTCCAAGGCAACTTATGTAGTGCTCTCCTTGACTAGTGGTCACACCCTAGCTCTTGGAATTTTCCACTACAAGCCCACCAGAAACCACGTCCTTATTTTCAGGAACTTGTGAGGGTTTCATGCCCAGAGCAGCTGCAAGCATAGAAAAAAAAAAGTTATTTACTCCAGTAGGCAAGAGGTCATAGAAAGTTCAGGGTCTGAGGGTCTGCAGCTCCCAATCTGCCTGCATGCTGCCATGTCCTACCATGATGGTAATGGACTAAACCTCTGAAACTGTAAGCCACCCTATTAAGTAAGTGTTCTCCTTTATAAGAATTATTTTGGTTATGATAGCTCTTCATAGCAATAGAAATCCTAACTAAGGTACCCCGCACATCATTTTCCTGAGTGTCTCCAAGCTCATCAGTTTAAAGTGTCTAACAGGTCTGTCATCAGATCTTTTCAAAAGAGATGTCCTTTCTGTTTGTTTGTTTTTTCTTTTTTTAAAAAATAATTTTAACATGGGGACCTTGGGGAAGGGTGAAGGGGGGAGGGGAGATGCAGGGAGGGGAGCAGAGGAAAATGTAGAGCTCAATAAATATCAATAAAAAATGTAAAAAAAAAAGATTTGTGAGTTCCAATCCTTATTTCAAACTGCTACATACACAGAAACAGTTATGTCTTTCCAGCATGTATAAAGCACTAAGCAAACCAATCTGTTCTCACCAGAGACACCAGTGGAGAGCGCGAACTCAGTCCCCCACTAACAGAAATTATGCAGTCAAGTTTCCCACATTTGGGGAAATCGCAGAGGTCAACACACCCCAAGTGTAATGGGTGAGCCTCACCCTGGGAAAACCACCTGCATGATCATGGTATCTCCCCTGCCAGGTAAGTATTGCTTGTTTGTTTTTGAATGGGCCCGAATTTCCTTTTTGTATGGCTTCTGATTTTAGTTATTGAAAACCAATTATTTGAATATAATAATTTAACTCTGAGAATCAAATTCTCTCCCTCCCCAAGAGTTATCTGGTTTTTCTTACTGTCTTGGAGGTCTTGGTAGTTATTTTCAGGGATGGAGGTATATATAGTTCAGTTGGTAAAATGCTTTCCTGCCATTCACAAAGCCCTACCTAGTTTTGTCCCCAGCACCACAGAAACCAGACTTGCTGGCACAGAACTGTCATCTCAGAACTCAGGAGGTAGAGGTAGGGGAATTAGGAATGCAAGGTCTCAACACAAAAGAAAAGACGAAGCATTATTTTAGAATGTCTCTATAACAAGGAGCATCCTGAAGGATAAACTAAATCCATGTCTTTTCTGAGCCTGCATTTTCCCTGGTTACCATGGCCCTGCACTTCCTACTTTTGCCTGTTCCTTTATTCATGAATGTCTTAGTTTCTAATCTGGCTCTGAAGTAGGTGAGAGACAAGAACAAAGGGGTTGTATGTAGCTCTTGGCTTTCTGAATCTTTTGAAAATCTCCTCCAGCAGGAGTGAGGACACACAGCGTTGGAGGGGGTGCAGCAACAGTGGCTAGAACTTTCTGGGTCTCTGTGATCAGAATCAGCAATCAGTGATTATGAGCAGAGCTCCATGACACAGGGAGGCAGGAGCATTTCCCTCACCCTGTCTGGGACAAAGTAGAAACAATTTGCTCCAGGGACACATTCAAAGCCGCCTGCCACCAGCTCGCCCGGCTGAGGAGTGGGGGATGGTAGCTGCTTCTGTGCTAAGAGCTAAAATTGACCAAAATTGACTGCAATTTACTGTGTAAGCCTTCCCTTCAATGGTCTCCAGACTTTCCAAATAGTTTCATAGGACAGTTCTGCCCGTATAATTGTTGTCTGGTTGGGGAGACAGATTCCTGCTTTGCCAGCTTCCCAGAATTCTCTCTCTACTTCCGGTTATTATGTGCTTTATTGAAAACTATTCCCACTCAGCTTATTTATTCTTTTTTTAACGCTGCCTTCACACTACCAAGGCAGAAGTGGGTGATTCTGACACAGGCTGAATGCACAGCAAAGCCAAAACTGTCACTATCCGGCACTTTACAATGTACTCTTTTATTCCTTTGTTTTTATTTTATATATGCTAGTCCTTGCCCGCATGTATATATGTATGCCACATGCGTGCCTGGTATCTGTGAAGTCCAGAAGAAGATGTCAAGAGCTGAATCTATAAGCTTTTGTAAGCCCCCTGTTGGTGCTGGGAACCAACCCCGGGTCCTCTGCAAGACCAGCAAATGGTTCTAACTACTGAGTCATCTCTCCAGCTAGTATTTAGAAAATAACTTCATTAATTACTACAGAGAAATGGGGTATAAAAACCACCATGACATTTTATAAGAAGGACATCTATTTTTTTCCAAAGAAATGAGAACTAAAACTATAGAATACAGTGCGGTGTGCATGTGTGTGCACGCAAGCATGATCCAAGACAACAATACCAAAGAACAAAATGTAAAATTTGTCTGCATTTTAAAGATAATCACTGGATGAAGTTACCCATGACTGCAGTGGGTTGGTTTAGCTGTATTTCACACTCCTAGGGGGATGTCTTTACACTCTACTTTGGCAAGTTGCTGTAGAATTATAGAGGATGAATAGAATAAATTTTGTGTTCATTATGAAGGTGTATTATGTTCCCAGTTCATCACTAGTCAACATCTAAGAGGCTGTCCCAGAAAACTTCCACCAAAACATTCTGGGGCTAACTCAGAAATAGGCAATCTCAAGAACCAAAGAATAGTTACTCTGGTTGTAGGTTAAAATCATGTGTCAAGGCAGAGTCCCTAACACTGATGGGGTACGTAAAAGTACGCTCTACTCAGTGAAGAAAGACAGGATCCCCATCTTGGGTGCAGTCAAACTGTGGGTGCATATATCACACCCACCTTGACTGAATAAACAAAACTTAGAGCAGCTTCTCATTTTCTCTGTTGGTTTGTCCCAGGAGGCCTCAGCTCTCTGGACACCCTCCCTTCTCAAGGTCACTGTCATATCATCTGGGTGTCCCTTCGCCTTCATAGTCCCTGGTCTTTGAATTAAAGTGTGTGGTAACGATCAATTAATAAATACATAAATAAGGAATGTATACCATTTTAAAATCGCAAGGCAAGGTTGGTGAGATGGCTGGGGATAAAGGTACCTGACAACCTGAGTTCAATCCCAAAACTCCCATGGTAGGAGGAGAGGACCAGCTGTCCTCTGGCCTCCACATGAGTGCCAGGCATATACACACACAGACACAGACAAATAGACAGAGATAGATACATACATACACACATGTGCGCACACACATACACACAACTATAAGTAATATATATATATTTAAAATATTTTTTTTAAAAAAGAATCAAAGGCAAGTTAGAAGTGGTGGTACATACCTGTAATTACTCTGAAAGCTAAGATGTGAATTTGAGGCCAGCCTGGGCTACATTTTGGAGGTCCTCTGGGGCAGGGGCCAGGGGGAAGAAGGAGGAGAGGGCAGTGAGGGAAAGGAAGGGTCTACACAGCTCTGCTTCATTCCTCACTTTGCTATGGTAAAACTGCCAGGCGGAGAGGAAATTCCAGGACCCTTGATCAGTAGTAATTCTACCTTCCAGTCACCAGCAACCTGATTTCAGCGGAGACTGCAGCAGCTGCTGTGTGAGCTGATGGGCCTGCTGTGGCCTGGTCGACAGTGACGTGGAAGATGTTGTTGACATTAAGGTTTTATGAGTGTTTATCCAGTCCCATGGGAAGGACTAGACACCACATTCCACCTATCCTGGGTGGAATAGAGACAGCCACCCATCTCTTCTGCAAGCCAAATGAAGTGGTCCTGGAGGGGCTCATCTCTGAGCCTGTATCTGCTATGAAAGATCGCTAGGAGCATCCATATTAATAACAGCGATGTGACCATTAACTATCTACCCAGAATCCAACCTGTCTCTTTTGTCAATAACAGAGCTCTGATTTGATCAAAGGTGGGGGTGTACACAGCTGAAAATATGAATTCCCAGCTTCTCTTATGGAGAGTGAACAATCCCATGACTAAATTCTAGCTTCAGATACCTAGGCCTTTGTGGGGAAACCCTTGTAAAATGACTGCTAAATCAGCTGTCTGTCCCCTTTGGCCTCCTCCACCCCCCTCGTCTTGCAGAACCAGGATTCACTAGCTGGAAGGGCAGTATCTGATTTGTGGCTTTGAGGTGGCCTTGTGAGTGGGAGCCGAAAGGACGCCTTGTTGAAAGAGTCACTCCACAGTCCCTGCATTTCTGTGTTTAGTTATCTATATTCAAATTTCATTTATATGAGAGAAACAAAACAAGCCTCTAGCTTCTAGACATCTGTTGCTAAGAGCGGAATGTAATTCTTAATGTCCCACGGGCCAGACAAGTCACCCCAGAGGTGGTAAGTGAGCTATACCTACCATGCATGATAAGTACAATTGGGTAATAAAAGAGCATTTGGGGGACACTTTTAATTGGGCCTAATGTGACAGAGGGTGGTAATACATGGGAGGGTAGCTCCAGCCTGACCCAAAGAGACCAAAAAGCCCACTGTTTATATAGCCAGAAAAGAGGCATGAGAGGTTTTATACAGTGGCTAATCCTCTACTCACAGACTTCTGTAAGTCCCCAGGAAATGTGTCCCCCATGCTCTGTCTGATCAGTAATGGCTGCAAGATGATTGGGGGTCATCCAGAGTCATTTGCGGATAAGGTCATCTGATGTGGGATCTCCTTCTGTATATGTGTTGCTTTTATTGGTTGATGAATAAAGCAGTTTTGGCCAGTGGCTAAGCAGAATAAAGTCAGGCAGGAAATCCTGACTGATATAGATAGGTAGGTAGATAGATAGATAGATAGATAGATAGATAGATAGATAGATAGAGACAGAGAGAGAAAGCAAAGTCAAAGAGACATCCATGTAGGTGCTGAAGGAGAAAGACGTCAGAACCTTACCAGTAAGCCCTAAGCCTTATGGTAAAATATAAAATAATAGAAATGGGTTAATTTAAGTTGTAAGAGCTAGCTAGGAATATGCCTGAGTCGTTGGCCAAGCAGTGTTATAATTAAGAAGGTTTTGTGTGATTATTCAGGTTTGGGTGGCCGGGAAATGGAATCACAGTCTCAGTTTACAGTCATCTAGTCCCTGAGGCTTATCATATCAAAGTAAAGCTTCCCAGAACCGATGCAAGTTGCTTGGGACAGCCTACCTGGAACAGAACCTTCTAGAGCAGAAGCTGTGATCCAGCAGCAGTCACGGTCACAGTAGTCTTCACAGCTGGAATCTTCTAGGGAATTCCACGAAGGAAGGGTTAAGGCAGACAGGCTGCCAGAATGATATTCTGGCTGAGAGCCCAAGAATGGAGCTGCATCAGTGATAAATAACTCCTTGCCCGGGAAAGCCGAGCATAAGGGAAGCTCAGACAGCTGTTCATCAAGCAGCTAACCGTTCTGCTCCGCAGTTTAGATTACCTGAGGAAAAGCAAGGATTCAGGAGTGCTTCCAATAAAGTCCTATCATAAATTTAGCATTCTTAATAATACTTAATAGTACTTAACCCCCAGAGGAAGTCAGGGTTGTCTAGATCATTCTCACTCAGGAAAACAATGAAGAAAAGAAGCTCTGAAAGTGTGACCACCTTTTTTGGCTAAAACAAAGCTATGAAGAGGAAAAATTCTGGCATCTTCAATGTAAACCAAAACTGCCCCCCCCCCGCCTCACCCCTGTCTTACCTACCTGCACTCGCACCCCTGTAAGCTTGAAACTGACTCGTATCCCAGAGGCTCTGGAGTGGGTGGTGCAGCCATCGCCGACTCCCAGGCAGAAACATTTGCCTGACCTCTGCTTTTGGAATGCCTACATGTAACCCTAAGAGCCTAGGATGGCTCGAACTTGGCAACTGCCTG